GGTTTTCACTCATGAAGGGTGTTTATGAGATTTGGGAAGAAGGGTAAATTGAGTCCTCGGTTCATTGGGCCTTTTGAGGTGCTTCGGAGGATTGGGGAGGTGGCTTATGAGCTTGCTTTGCCACCCAGCTTGTCGAGTGTGCATTCGGTCATTCATGTTTCTATGCTCCGTAAGTATATTGGCGATCCGTCTCATGTTTTGGATTTCAGCACGGTTCAGTTAGTCAGTGATTTGACTTATGATGTGGAGCCAGCAGCTATTTTGGAGCGTCAGGTTCGAAAGTTGAGGTCAAAGGATATAGCTTCAGTGAAAGTGCAGTGGAGAGGTCGGCCCGTGGAAGAGGCTACCTGGGAGACCGAGCGGGAGATGCGGAGAAAATATCCTCACCTATTTGAGGCTTCAGGTATGTTTCTTGACCCGTTCGAGGACGAACGTTTGTTTAAGAGGGGGGTGTAACGACCCGGCCGATCGTTTCATGAGTTACCGCTCCGTTTCCCCCATTTTTGCTTCTTTATGTTTTGTTCAGCTGTATTATGTCGCATCGGGTTGGTTGGTTGGGGTTCGGAGTGGTTTTGGAGAGGTTTGAGACACTTAGTCTCTTAAGTTGGCCATTTAGTTGGAAAAGTCAACCGGAAGTTGACTTGTGAGTAAACGATCTCGGAATTTGGTTTCTATGATTCGGATAGCTTTGTGAGGTGATTTGGGACTTAGGAGCGTGATCGGAATGTATTTTGGAGGTCCGTGGTAGATTTAGGCTTGAATTGACGAAATTAGAATTTTGGCATTTTCCGGTTGGTAGTGGAAATTTTGATATCGGGGTCGGAATGGAATTTCGTAAATTGGAGTAGGTCTGTTGTTTCATTTGTGACGTGTGTGCAAAATTTCAGGTCATTCGGAGGGGGTTTGATAGACTTTTTGATCATTTGAGGAATTCTGAAGTTTTGTAATCCTTAGGCTTGAATCCGAGGGTGATTTGGTGTTTCGGCGTTGTTCTGAGTGTTCCGAAGATTGGTATAAGTTTGAATAGTGTTATATGACTTGTTCGTATTTTTGGTTGAGGTCCCGGGGGCCTCGGGATGTTTTTGGATGGTTAACGGAAAGTTTGGAAATTTGAGGATGCAGTTGAACTTGCTGGTTCTGTCATAACTGCACCTGCGTTTAGGGGACCGCAGGTGCGATGATCGCAGAAGCGAGATTTAGCCGCAGATGCGGCCACAAGTGAAGAGGGCAGAAGTCGCAGGTGCGGAGGAAGGAACGCACCTGCGTGACCGCAGGTGCGGATATTGCGTCGCATGTACGGTTAGGGAATTTAAATAAAAAATCGCAGAAGCAGTTGGATGGAGCGCAGAAGCGGTCCCGCAGGTGCGGGAAATGGACCGCAGGTGCGGTATCGCTGGCAGAACATATAAATAGATGTCTTTGCGAATTTTTGCTAAGTTTCTCCATTTTTTAAAATAGGAAGAGAGCTAGGGCAGTGATTTTTCAAGGGAATCGAAGGTTTTCAGTTGGGTAAGCTACTTAAGCTTTATTACTTGTGTTTATGACCATTTTTCCATTGTTTAATCATGGTATTAGTGGGAAATTAGGGAAGAAAGTTGGGAGATTAGGGCTTGGAATTGGAGACTTTAATTTAGGTATTTGAGGGGTCGTTTTTGGTCGGATTTTGGTGTATTTGGTATATATGAACTCGGGAGAGTGTAAGGATTCTAGTTTTGTGAATTTTATCGGAAACCGAGATGTGGGACCGGGGGTCGGGTTTGGCCAATTTCGGGATTTGTGGTGTAATTTAATTATTTTCGCGTGGGCTTTGTTCCCTTAGCATATATTGATGTTATGCTTCTGAGTTTGGTTAGATTCGGGGCATTTGGAGGCCAAATCGAGAGGCAAGGGCATCGTGGGCTAGAGTTTGGCTTGGCTTGAGGTAAGTAACGCTTCCAAACTTGGTTCTTAGGGTTCGAAACCCCGAACTACGTGTTCTATGATTACTATTAAGGTGACGCAAATGCCAAATGACGGGCGTGCGGGCGTGCACCGTGAGAAATGCGGCCCGGATCATTCCAGGGCACCGCTTAGGGACTCTTTCTTGCTGATATCTGTGTTGTAGTTATGTGATTAAGTCAATGAGCTGTGAATCATGCTAATTGTCATGTTAAGGCTTCACTCCAATACTGTTGAGACCCGAGAGGTTGTTTCTTGCTGTCATGTCATTAGCTTTATTGATATTCTGTACTCAGTCCTGTTAATGCATATTATATCATACCTCAGTCCCGATTATTGTTATTTGACACATCATATCATTGTCCGGGCTAGTATCATGACATTTTGAGCCCATGTGTGTGAGACTGGAGAGTGATGACTGAGTGAGGCCGAGAGCCTGATATTGAGTGACAGTATGGAATCGGGCTGCACGCCGCAGCGAGATATTGAACATGCCTTCGTTGGCATTGTTATAGCGCTTGGGCTAAGAGAAGCCCCTCCGGAGTCTTTACACCCGCAATGAGCGCAGTGATGATATTGAGGGATGGATCTTCCCTGGACATGGATCTTGTCCGA